GGGGCCAGCGCGACGGGCCCTACCCGGTAGCACTCCAGCTGCTTTGCCCTAGGCGTCCCCGATTCAGCCGCTGGTCAGTTTTAGCAGCGACTGAATCAGGGAACCTGGGAGCAGAGCAGCTCCAATGGTCCAGATGCCCGGAGCACCTCCGGGTTCCTGATGGTGCCGGACCATCAGGAGTACCGGACCATCAGATGCTGGACCATCGGAGTTTTACTGTATGTATCTTATACAGCCCTCTATACAACAACACTAGTGGCACGTAGCTTTGGAAACTTTTCTTGCATAATGGCCCCAGCAGACATAATTGTGTTCTTTGACTTGGGAGAAGTTCTTTTGTGATCAAGTACTGCAGAACTTCAGTTTAAGGGTTAGCAAACTTAATTTCATCTTTAACTTAACATTGGATCCTGAAAGATGCTGAGCACCCTCTAATTCACTGATGTGAACAGGAATGGGCGGCCCTTAGCATCTTCAAAAAGGTGCTGTGTAGAAACTGACTAAGTCAGGACACAAGCTCACATAATCGAAGTCATAAGCCTACCATATAATCATACAGTTGGAAGAGACCTCAGAAGATCATCGAGCCCAATCCCCTGCCCAAAGAAGGACCAAACCCAATGTCCTGGTCTGCTTGCTTTCTTTGGCCTACAGCCATAGTCTAAGGTGTTAACCCGGAGAGAAAGTTAAATAAATTATAATTAAGCTCATAACTTACAAGTGAGCCTCTTGGTCCAATATATCCTGTCTCTCCTGGAAATCCGGGATCTCCTCTTGAACCATTGCAGCCATTCAAGCCAGGTCTGCCCCTTGCCCCTTCAATTCCAGGATGTCCCTTTTGAGGTTTAATTACATATATTGATGTTGCATTGTTATTTAGGTTCAGCTTTTGTCTAAACACAGCAGTGACACTGGTGACAACTGGGACAGAGGATAACTCACATATGTCTTGCTTCTATACTCCTTACACTAGAAAAAGCCTCCCAATCAGGTTTATAAGAATCTTTCTTACATCCAGCAATAGGCACAAAACTGGGCCTGTAATCTGAACATAGAGGTTTTGCTCTGATACCTCTAACATTCTGTACTTTGATGGCATGCACAGCAGCAATGCCAGGGTAGGCAGAGCATTAGACTGGACGCTATTCTCATCAGAATCATTAACAAAAGTGTTCCTTCAATGGAGGCAAAATCAAACTCTAAGTAAATGCCTTCTGGAAGAATTAAAGAGCAATTGGGGAAATAAGGAAAAGGTTTTGTTCCTTGTGAGTGACATACACTAAGGCCATTTCAAACTAGCCATGCCCCTTTTTACTGATAGGGTACAATTCAAGAAAATATGGCAAATTTTGAGTCAAACATTCTATACGCTCAGGGGAATCCACACACAAATTCTGGAATGGAGGAAAGGACTTTTCACCCTCCTCCCCCCGTCCCATGGACTGACCATTCACTATTACAGAGGACGAAGAGAGCAGTGGACACTGGGGTTGGTTGGGAGTTTCCCACCAGAATGATTTTCCACCTGAAATATCTTTTGTGCAAAATTAAACACCTCTACATGAAAATTTCACTTTTGCAAAAAAAAAAAAAAAGTTAGATTTTCTATTGTGAAAACTGAAATGACTGCTCATTGGCTGCCTATCTGGAAGTTTCTTGTCTGACAGATTAACCTTCCAAGTGGGATGCTGGCAAGCCAAAAAAAATCCCATTTTAGGACTTCTGAAACAATTCTTTTTTAAAATCCCTTTCTCTCAAAAACTTTTGAGGAAATTTTTTTTTCCACAAACATGCTATTTTTCTTGAAAAAGGAATTTTTATTTAACAGACAATTGTAGCAGACACAACGTCTCTGTTAAATTTTGGCCTTATGGACCCATGTTTTATTACAGCTCCTCTAGTAACATTCTGACTACATGGAAGGCTACATATGGAAGGCTTACACAGAGCAAAAATGGATCAGAGATCTCCTCCACAGGATCTCTGCTTCCTGGCCTACATGAACATCCCAAATGAACTATTTCTATTTTGTTTGTTTCCTCTGGGCCATAAAGGCTCTCCCAGGGTTTAGATCTAATAGAAGATCATTTTCAAAATATTGAATTTAATAGAGCTTCCTCTCCTTTTACCCTACTCATTCCACATCTGATACAGTGACATTTATATGATGGCTTTTACAAAGGTATATTTCTATTTGCCTAAATACTAAAATGCCAGGTTCTATAGTCCCTATTCAGGAAAACTTTCACTGGTATCAGTGAGGTTTTTATCTGAGTAAGGACTGCATGACAGGTCTCAAAATGCTTCAATGGGAAAAGAACAACTAATTAGGGTTCCTTTTTGCTATTTTAAAAATGTATTCAGATGCTGTGTGGTCCACCTTACAGCCTTGAAGCCAGAAACTACTGTTTTTTAATTCTGATATTGGCATTTCTATGCTGCATGGATTTGGTTAAGCCTTAGTTAACTCTCTAGCTACAATTCCTCTTCTGTAAAATGGGAATAATAATATTTACTTACTTCAATGGGCCACTAAGAAGTATAATTAATTTGTATTGTCATTTGGAAAATAGGGTAATGTGAATTATTAATACTAAATATAATAATAATTTACCTTGTTTTTCATGCATGTACAAACTGTGTCGTTCTCCAGGTGATACAATATTGCAGGGTATAAAACTAAATATATCTGATTAGTAAGGTAAGCTGTTTTAAAAGGTACCTATGGATTCAGGTTAATTGTAATCTTTATACCACAGTATTGGCAGTGTACTTACAGGCACACCATCTAAACCAGGAAATCCTGGGACTCCTGTTGGACCCTAAAAAAAGACATTTTAAATTGAAGAACATTTAAACTGAGGACAACAGGAGGATGTGATATTGTAAAATTAGTGCCAAAAACTTTCTGGAAATAGAGACACATTTGAATCATGACTTTAACTCAAACACTGCAGGATAAATGGCTTGTTGTAGCTATATTGTTCCCAGGATATTAGAAAGAAAAGCTGGGTGAAGTAATATCTTTTATAGGACCAACTTTCTGACCGGTCAGAAAGAGAAGTTTTTGAGATTACTCAGAGCTCTTCTTCAGGTCTGGGAAAGGTAGTGTACTAGGCTAAATGCAAGGTAAACCAGATTGTTTAGCATAAACAGTTAACACATATTATAAGAGACCATTCAAGACCAAGTGGCCAGTTAGAGTAAAACACCTTGTGTAGACACTGACTACTTTCCCAGATTTGAAGAACAACTAAGTGTAGTTTGAAAGCTTTGGTCTTTCACCCACAGAAGTTGGTCAAATAAGTTATACCTCACCCACTTTGTATCTCTGATATAAAGTGGACAGACTCCGCCTGGGCCTATCCAGCTAGTGTAGTCTGCACGGTGATCAATGATAGCTATGAATATCACAAATGATACTGGGGGATAACACTCAGCCCTTAAGGCTAATTTCATCCATTATAGTTTATGGGATTACACATAAGATTAATATAAACATAAGGGGCTCGTCTGCACTGGCCCCTTTTCCGAAAGGGGCATGTTAATTTCACAGGTCGTAATAGGGAAATCCACGGGGGATTTAAATATCCCCCGCGGCATTTAAATAAAGATGTCCGCCGCTTTTTTCCGGCTTTTAGAAAAGCCGAAAAAGAGCGTCTACACTGGCCCCAATCCTCCGGAAAAAAAGCCCTTTTCCGGAGGATCTTATTCCTACTTTGAAGTATAAGAATAAGATCCTCCGGAAAAGGGCTTTTTTTCCGGAGGATCGGGGCCAGTGTAGACGCTCTTTTCCGGCTTTTCTAAAAGCCGGAAAAAAGCGGCGGACATCTTTATTTAAATGCCGCGGGGGATATTTAAATCCCCTGTGGATTTCCCTATTACGACCTGTGAAATTAACATGCCCCTTTTGGAAAAGGGGCCAGTGTAGACGTAGCCAATATGTATGTGCCATACTGCAGACTGACTTCTGCTTCCATTGATATCAATGCAGGATCAAGCTCTATATTTCAGTACAGTTGTACACGAGAAGCTAAATTTTGATCTTGCTTATGCTGGAGTTAATGCAATTACACCAAGGAAAGCAAGGGTAAAGGTTCATAGATTGTAGACCTGGTAAAACCAAAAGCTGAATTATAACAGTCAAACAAAAATGGCAAAGTTGTGCCTATTGTACAACATTATTTTAAAGCTCTAGTCTTCCCCATCATATGTGCATTAGGGCTATCAAGTGATTAAAAAAATTAATCGCACGATTAATCGCACTGCTAAACAATGATAGTACTCTTACTGATGCCAAGCTCTGTGTTGCGCTGCCTCTTTAAAACACCACTGCAATGTTTCAAAGGGCTGTGGGAGCCCGGGATCAGCTGTGTGGGCGCTGCCCCTTTGAAACACCGCTGCGGTATTTCAAAAGGGCAATGCAACACGAAGCCTGTGGTCAGCTAGAGTCCCCAGCTGACCCTGGGCTCGGTGCAGTGCTGCCACCACAGCGTTTCAAAGGGACAGCACCACGGGAACCTGGGATTAGCTATGCAGCACTGCCCCTTTGAAATACTAAAGGGGCAGTGCAACACAGGAGCCCAGGATCAGCTGGAGTCCCCAGCTGACCCCAGGCTCCATGCAGGGCTGCCTCTTTGAATTGTCACGGCGGCGTTTCAAAGGGGCAGCTTCGCAGGAGCCTGGGATCAGCTGAAGTCCCCAGCTGATCCCAGGCTCTGCTCACGTTGCCCCTTTGAAACTCAGCAGTGACATTTGAAAGGGTCAGCGCTGAGGGAGCCCGGGATCAGCTAGAGTCCTCAGCTGATCCCGGGCTCAGCATTGTGCAGCCCCTTTGAAGCACTGCCTCAAAGGGGCAGCGCTGCACTGCTGCTCTCTGGCTCTGCCACACAGGCGGTGGCATGTCAGAGGGGCAGCACTGCAGAAACGCCTGCAATTAACATGCATTAAAAAATGAATTGTGCTCTGCCTTAATCGCAGGTATTAACATGCATTGATTGACAGCCCTAATGTGCATGTAACCTCCTTGATGTTCAGTTGAGTGAGGTTGGACATACCAAATGGAGACTAGTTCCCCGAATTTTAACTTTTTTTTTGCCAACTTTGATTTTCTAACATAGGGCCAAATGCTGCAGTTCCCCTTCTCAGGCATCTCTACAACTGATTTCACAGGAAGTTTTGTATGAGTAAGAACAGGAAATAGCTGTGCAATGTTAACATTCAGTAAAGGCTTTTATTGTTCTTGTTTTGTTTCATTTTGCAATATTCACCGTTATATTTTACTAGATTTATCCAGCGTTGCTCAGGTCCTTAACTCAAATAAGTTTTGTTTTTCTTCATTTAAATCATTATTCTGGGGTGTGGCTGGAGATGAGAGGTTCAGTATGTAGGCTGCTCCAGGGAGAGAGCCCCAAGTCACCATAGCAGCTGTTCATGAGAAGGGCCTGTTCATGGCCTCTGCAGCTCCAGCTCTAGTGAGCATAGCCCCAGGAGAGGCGCATGTCCCCCAGCTGAGGGACATACAGACACACAGACAGATACACAAACTCTCTAAAATACATAGTAGATAGTTATCCCATGGTCCACCCTGCAGGCTCCATTCTGTCCCGATCCCCATTCTGGTCCCTTGCTGCCCCCTGTGGTCATTCCACAGTATAACTCCCTACTGCAAGACCCCCTCCCTTTTCATTTTATAAGAAATAATCAAATTCCACATATATCCTTTTATCCTGGCACAACCAAACCCTGGCCTTGCTTTAAGTTATGAATAAGAGGAAGCTGGATACCAGATTTGGTGGTCCTAGCTCTTACGGTTTAAGAGGAGTTCTTGAACAAATGGATTCACAGACAGAGGGACAGACAGACAGAGACACACCATTCTAAAATATATAGCAAGATATACTAAAAAAAGACTTTCCCATAGTATTTCCTACCTTATCACCTTTTCCTCCAGGGGGCCCGGGGAGCCCATTCTCACCTCTCTGTCCTTTTTCTCCTTGCAAACCAGTGGGCCCTGTAAATCCCAAAGGTCCTATTGGACCTTGAGCCCCTAGGTGACCAGGCTGACCCTGAAACAGAAGAAATGATTCAGAGGCAGTAGAGTAAACAAATACAGTTAACCTCCCTCTGGCTGCTAGTGATGGTGCAGAGAAGACTGTGAGAAAAACAAAGTTTAATATACAAACAAGGGAAGTGAGCATCTCTCCCACTCCCCTCCCCAGCCAAACTGCCACTTGAATGTCTGTATGCTTGCTACCGTTGGTATACATGTTCTTGCACCTCTGTAAACCAGAACTCTCTGGTCCAGACCACAGATGTTCCAGGATCAGAGCACCCCAGTACACTACATTTGGGCTTCTACATCTCTTGGCCACTGTTATGGCAATACACAAAGTGCTGCTAAGTGCACAAAGCAAACAAACTGGAAAAAATTAAAAACTTGTTTTTTCACTAAATTCTTGCCTCATAGTCATTCTAGATGTTACTAGCAAGTTCAACATTTTTAGAGGAAAAAGTGATTGTTCTGCTCTTCTGCAGCTGATTTAGACATTCACAACAGTAACTTCATCAGTAAGACTTTCAGGTCCAAGTCATTCTTTTTACTCCCTTCTTACTGTTGTTTTATTTTTCTGACAGGCCTGATGTTAAGCCAGGATCAGGAGTGTTGATGCTAAATTTTCCTACATTTCCTACCATGTACATAAGTGTTTCTTTTCTTTGCTCTTTTTTAATGTCACTGTTTCATTATATTTGTTGTTCTCTGAAATACAGTCTCCTCCTTTTGAAGATTGTTTTTCTTTTCTGATTTAGCCTATCAACTATCTAACATAATACAACGGCAGAACTGACCCCAATCCTTTTAAAGGAAAGTGTACAGCTCAACGCTGACCACCTGAGGGCAGCAAAGAATTCTGGAATGCAATCTCCAGTCACAGAAACAACAGCCAGTTTATTTATTTTATTTCAATGTGTGAAGAGCAGAAAAATGTCAGAAATTAAGAAGAGATGTAGACAAATATGTGTTGGCTGCAGTAGTATAATTACTTCTAGAAGTCACAGAACAGATAAATTTTACCCAGTCTAGACATTTTAACATGAACTGATTCTGTACGAATACTATTTTTTCCTTCAATTATAATTGGGAGCATGGAGTGACCAGATCCCTTTTCTTTAAGGAACAAATATAATTTCTTCTGCTAAAATATGAAAATTAAGAGTACCATAGTTTAAGCTACCTTATCTTGTAGAGGACGTGTTTTTGTTTGTTTGGTTTGTGTTCCTGACTTTGATATGAGGATCTTGACATTTTTCACTGCATCAAACCTTTGAGACAGGACTTACTTCAACTGCTGCTGAAATGGACCCCCCCCCACACACACACACACTCACATGGTACTTAGTTTAACATTGCATAGCAACTGCACAACAACTAGGGCAAGAAGGGCCATGTTCAGCTGAAACAGCAAAAGGAATGTAGGTAGCAACTACAGATGTTAAACTGCATTTAATCAACTAATCGAGTAGTTGATGGAATTTCCATCGACTACTCGATAAGGAGGAAAACTGCAGAGCCATAGCAGAGCTAGCTCCCAGCCCCGGGAGCTAAACCCATTGTAGCTCTAGCTTTTACATGTATTAAGAGCCACCAGGCTCTTAATACATTTAAAAAGCAGAGGCGTAGCTGGGGAGACCGAGCATGAGCTGCGTATCAGCTGATTCCCGGCTCGTGCCTTGGTCCCAGATGCTGTGCCTCTGCTTTCTAAATGGCATCTTAATACATTTTACTGACGAGCCTTAATACAAGAGCCTGGTGGCACATTTAAAAAGCAGAGGCGCAGCTTCTGGGAGTCCCCAGCTGATCCCGGGCTCAGCATTGCACTGTCCTTTGAAGCACTGCAGTGGCACTTCAAAGGGGCAGCGCAGCATCAACTCCTGCAATTAACGCATTAAAAAATTTAACGCGTTAATCTTAGCCTGCGTTAATTGCAGGCATTAATGCATGTCAATTGACAGCCCTTATATATATAAAAACACGTGAGTAAACCCTGGCACCACATGTCCCATGTTACTGTTCCCTTCTATTCATCTCTTTAACACAGCAAAGCACCTATAACTCAGTCAACATCATCTTGCATTGAGTTGGCCAATCAACACTGAATGCCACCCTGAGGTAGGTGAGATTCACAACAGCCCCCAGATGGCCCAGGTTTCTGTATATCTCTGGAGAGCCTGTAGTTTAGAAGGCCACAACCCTGGGCAAACCTGTAGGATGAAATACCATCCTTCTCACTGGCACTGCTAATAAAGCTCAATAGGTAGATATTTATGGCATTTGCTGCAACTTGTTTTTTCCTACATAAAAG